CGGCGTGGGGAAAGCGCCCAGCCGGGGACCCACAAAAGTTGCCCTGTGACAGTGATGAACCCTGCTAACCAGGACATGTTTCCTGCTTTGCATTTTGGGGCATTAAAAAAAAAAAAAAACACAAAGCTGGGGACAGAGATATGAGAATGAGCCACTTCTTATTTTTAAGTGTGTTGGTTTTAATGCAGTTGTGAAACGCTCTAGGTACAAAAAAAAAAGGCAGGCAAGGGTTTTTTTGGAGTATTTGGTTCTATTTTAAAGCTACATGAGCAGGCAATGTTTTCAAATGCATTTTTCATTTTGTTTTGGAAAGCTATGGAAACATGTCCCTGGAAAACAGCAATCACTGCAAGGCCCAGGAGAGCGCGGTGGCCTGGAGACCAGCGGGCAAAGCCATGCCAGATCACTGCAAAGCATTTAATGTTCGAACGCTGGGTGTTCACACTTTTAAACCAATATCCTGTTTGCCAAGATCTGTCTGTAGCCAAGATTATAAACAAGCATCTTGCTGAATACGGGTTTTAACAGTTCAAATCAAAGCACAGGGGTTTTTTTAACGAGCAAAAAGGAAACGAGTGCCGTTGTTGGGATGGTGAAGCTGGAGGTCTGGGCAAAGCGAGCGTGCTCCCGCCGGAGGGGCTGCAGGAGCAAGAACAGGGCTCTCGTGGGCTGAAGCTCTTTGCCGCACGAAGCAAATGCCAAAAGAAGCGGGGCTGGTGGGGAGAGCCCTGCCCTGGTGTGGCACCAGGGCATCCTGCTGCGAGAGGTGCTGGTGACCAGCAGAAAAACTGGAAGAGCCAGCTGCTCTGTTGCATATTTACTGTTGCATTTACTTACAATTTTACATGGATGTGTTTATTGTAACAGAAATATTTAATGTCAGTATTTACTTATGTCTTATTTTTAAAGTGGCCAGGTCTCATGAGTGCATGCTGCAGCACTGATACCTGGATCACACCCCACTGGAGTGGGGGCACAGGGAAAAGAGGCTGAGGGCAGAGCTGCTGGCGTCCTTGGGAAGTTTCATGCGCTGGGGACTGCGTGGGCTCTTGGAAACCCGGGGGGCCCCCAACATCCTCAGTCTCCCCACGACCCACTCCTCTGCCTGAGCTGTGAACAGCAGGAGCGCTCAGGAGACAGATCTGCTGGACCACGTCTTTAAGACTTTCCTTCCACAAACGAAGGGAAGCCAACCCTGAAACTGCAGCAGGCCATAGAGACTGTCGGAAATATCACAACAAAAATCTCTTACCCCAGAGAAGCAGCAGGATCTATTTTCTCTAATGACCTGGGTAAATGGAGCATTGGTCACTAGCTCATAAGGGAAGGGCAGAAGGGGACATGCAGCAGCATAGATGAAAGGGTATTGAAGATGAAACCTTTTAATTTGGAAACTGATGGTTAATTAAGCCAAATTAAGTACAATTAAAAGGGCATAAAACAGCCTGCGTGAACTTCACAGTGATCAGCTACTTATTATCTGAGGGAAGCAGAGCATGCATGCTGAATGCTGCCATTTCAGAGTGTAACCTTCCCCAGGAAGCAGCAGGATGTACTTATGCAACAGCATACTTAGCAAACGCAAGGACTAAATCTTTTAAAAGATGCTCCAGAACTAAGACTGTTCCTCTGACTGAAGTTTAAAGAAAAGCATTTGTCCTGGTGGCATGTGAGCAGAAATAATACCTGTTAACGCCCTGGGTCTACTTCTGATGTGGCTGGCTTCAAGAGATGTGACCTGGAAGTGTCATTGGGATCCTTTGTGCCAGGCACCGGAGCACCCAAACAGCCACATCTGTTAGAAACCGAAGCTGAGAACAAACCACATGGAAGGCGGTACAGGAGCTTGCCCGCTCGGTGCTCACGTTGAGCTGCGGGCTGCCCCTTGCTGTCTGCTCTCTCTCCAACAGTGTGCTCGCGCCCGTCCCTTTTTCCAGCAGAGCTGAAGGGTGCAGAAGCAGAACCCAGGAGGGCAAGGAAAGGTAGAGCAGGGGACACCCTCAGACCTCAGTGGCTGCACTGCTTCTTCTTCACTGCCTGGCCTCGGTGGGTACTAGGGCATACACCGATTTGGCCATGCTCTTCAGGCCCCTTTAGTACCGAGGGAGATGAGCATCAAAACATTGCTGCTTTGCTGGAATCTTGTTTTTCCATTTTCCATTCGGGACAGCCTTTCAGAAGTTAAACAGAAAAGGAAAAAAAGACAGTTCTGCTTCCACCGCCACAAAGTGGCACTTTTAGTCTCGGACTGTTGTTATGACAGGATTGAAAGGGTCTTCAGGAACTGTAGTCACAGCGTTCATTCCCCGTGAAGGCACTCATTTCAGTACACACAAGCACTTTTTGGAGCTGTGGCTCCCGAGTCAGTATTCGCTGCATCTCCCATGAGCGTATTTTCACTGCCCCCTAGTGCCTGTTCCTGCCCTCCCCCTTCAGCGTTGAACTGTCCCAGTACCTCCCAGAGAGGAGGAACTGAGCACAGGAGAAAGCACATGAGAGGGAACAGGTCTGATTGTGAAATGAAACTTCCGACACAGCTGTAGTTTGCAGACAGATGAACTGCCTCACATTTGTATACTGCATTGATATATAAATTGACCTGCAGTTCTTACATAAATATTAAGACCAAGGCAACGTTCCCACTAAACTCTGTAAAACATTAGGCAAAACTATACATCTTCCAAAAAGTGCAGCCATTCCAGCACTGGAACACCAGAATTTTCACTTCTGAGAGAAGCCACTATAGCTGTCTGCAGTTAAGCAGTCTCCTTCACCCAAATATTTCCAAGAATAGTCACGATAGGATACAGACTGCTGAAATACCCACATTCCAGTCACTTAAGCACTACAAGTGTCTTAACACACATGGAACAGTGACACATTGTGCGTAAGTTGTGCGTATCTTACAGCTTCATTTAGTAGTGCACAGGATCCTACTAATAGCTAGAGTAATTGCACTGCAAATTTAAGTGGAATGAGAACAAGCTCTACAGTCAGTTTAGGCATTGTTTGCTTTCTTCTCCGACTCTTCTTTCTTTGGATCCTGCTTCAGCTTGTAATCAGCCAAGGCGGCCTTGATTGCATCTTCAGCCAACACTACAAAGAAAACAAAACGAGGCCTTACAACTATTTCAAGAGAGGCGAGAAGTCATTTTGAACACAATATGCAGTAAAACCAGCAGCAGTAAACCCCACAGAAGTTAGCGTAGGAGTTTGAGAACAGGGTCAGTATTTTAGAAGCAGACAGTCAGGAGTCAGACCTTTTATTGTCACCAGTCTTCTGAGCTACACAAAACCCAAAAGATGACAGACTTGGAAACTTGTCATGTCACCCCAAAGCCCGAATATAAGCTACTTTCTCTTGCAGGCCAGCCTCAGTTGTTCCAGGTACAGGTATTTGATTTGGACAATAACATTTGGAAGCATCTGTGCTATTGCCAGAAGTCTTATTCCCACAAACTTGTCTTTGGACTTTAATAGCTTAGTCCTTTACTTACTAGAGCAGTGCAGTTTGACTGGAGGAAGGCAAAGTTCTTTAGCAATATCTGTATTCCTGATCTTCAAAGCTTCATCAACCTGAAACATACAGTTAGTGTGAAGATACTAGTCATCTGATAAATAATACAGGCTCCAAACGTATTTGTGAGAAGAGCGCTTTAAGGCTCCAGAGGCCAACAGAATCCACAAAGAATATCTCAACTGCCCCTGGCAGCAAAGGACGCTGGACAGCACGCTAACACGAGAAAGACCCTCAACATCTATCCAGTTTTCTTCTGTGCCAGCCAAGTAACAATCTCAAGGAATGCCTCAAGCCAAGCAGCAGTGTTAACTAACCAAAACATGCTAGTGTTGTGGACTGAACATGACTAAGGAATTGTTTTAAGTTTGTTTACCTTTTCCGCACAATACTGAAACCCATGAACTCACCAAAAAAAAAAGGGGGTAAGTAATCTGAAAAATCTGGTTTTAAAAGTTTTTTTCCAGATCTTGCGATCTGTTTTTCTTGCTGTATAATCCACAAAGCGTTTCTCTGCAAATTAGTGCAGGTTCTTGGAGGAGACAGCTACTGCCCCAGAAGCCAGGCCACTGACAAGGACAGAGTTCTCAGGCACAGCTTTCTAAGCTAGTACATTACATAGCACCACTTCTCCAGAGCGCTTTCCAGGCCTCCGCTTCTTCGGTGGCCCCAACACAGAGCAGGCTTGAAACTTCAAACGCTTTCCATGGCACTGCCTCCACAGGGACCCTTACCGTTTTCCCTTTAACCCACTCCGTAGCCAGCGAACTGGAAGCGATGGCCGATCCGCAGCCGAACGTCTTGAAACGGGCATCGATGATCTTCCCGTTCTCGTCCACCTCCACCTGTGGGAACGTCGGCAGCAGCACCTCAGGGGCCGGCT